CGAGTGTCACATCCGCTCGACACGAAAGAGCGCTGAATACAATGTGCCGGGAAAAGATTTTGTATACTCAAACTTGTTTGAAGAATCGAATGGAACTCCCCGACGTCGGGCGCATCCGAACACTACTCCGACAAGACTTTCGCGACGGTCCGCACTACGAAGCAGGATGTTATGAGAGAAAAAAAAATGGCACTGCCTCTGCAAATTTCGATGGCTTTAAAGAATAAAATGTATGAATAATGAAAAGCTTGTAAAAACAAAAGTACTACATAAGTATATGGGGCCCCATTAATTACGCTTTTACTGCCCAACCATCCACATCTGAGCCAGTCTCTGCTGATAGACTTTCTTTCTGCAGTTGCAGCAATTGCGCCTGCGGAACTCGTCTCCTAGGGTATTTTGATCTCCTGAATGCGAATATGACATTCGCATACCCCGAAACCTAACGCCCGCGCCACAGGCGCCGGTGATATTTGGTATTTTGGCGCCAGCGCCTGTAGAGTGGGAGCCAGGAGGTTTCAGGGTGAGCGTATATGATATTCGTGTTCAAGAGATCAGAGTACCCCTGAGAACGAGTTTTTAGCGATTGGTGATTCAAGGTGTTTTGGCGTCGGCGATTGCGGCACAGGCGCCAGGAAGTTTCGTGTTTAGCGCATGTAATATTCATGTTCAGGCAGTCAAACTACCCGATCGCGCAAGACAAATTTTACAGCCAATTCTGCCAACCCCAGGAGAAAAATCGGCTACAAAACCCTGTTTTCGGAGATTGGGCAAGGCACGTAAAAGGGCTCAACTATGTGCCATCATTTGATATGCATTTCATAGGTATAGTCAAAAATTTCTTAGTGACGCTTGCCCATAGGTGGCTTTGATGACTTTTGATCCTGAGAAGAAGGCGGCTGGCATTCATTTGCGCCAACTCGGCACTAATTTTAGAGCCTCTTTCTAACGCCAGAAGTGCCATTTTCATCGCTCTTGATAAGCCCTGTGCATGGGAGAGGAAGCAATCCCCTTTGGGGGAGGCAGCCCCAGCAGAAGACAAACGTAGTGTTCTCCATTCGCACAAACGTCAAGAATGGGGGTCACATCCGTAACCAGGATGCCTAAATCCCGTATACAAGTTTTCAGCTGATTCGGTGTTCTTGGTATTTTTGCGCAGGCACGAGGCAGCTCTAGGTTGAGCGGATGTGATATTCGTGTTTAGGAGCTCGGAAAACCCCGGCGCACAAACTTTCGGCGGATTCGGCGATCCTGGGCATCATTGCTAGGGCGCCAGGCAGTTCTCTCCGCGATCTGTGACCGTGTATTACTCCTGATTAGGAGTCCCAAACTACCCAAGGGCACAAGATTCGCGCGCCGTTTAGGTGATTCTAGGTATCCTGACGCCAGCACCCTGCGCGGGCGCTTGGCAACTCAACGCAAATTAATGTGATTCCCGTATTCAGAAGGTTAAACTTCCCTAGAACCGAGTTTTCAGCCAAATCTGCCCCCATAGAAATAGCCCGGTCAAAAACTGGTTTATTTCTCGAAAAATCGGTGCAGCAATAGTTGAAATAATTGGACGTGTAATACATGCCGTAACTCATTAACTTGCCAAAAGAACACTGTCCCTAAACCAACAAGTTTTGCCACGAGAAGTAATGAGTTTGGCGTTGTAATTGTTGTGGATTGTCACCGACATCAATGTTTTCACTGGCCGCGCAGAAGTTTCAGCGGGTACGTATGCCGCCTGACAACGCTAACTATATATCGTTGTCCTGGACACGTTGATCTGGAAGCCTCCAAGCGCACCGCAGCTCGCGGCAACCGTCCGCCGCGGATCTAGGACTCATCCTTCGACCAGCAGTCGGCCAGCCAAGGCGCGGGTTGATGGTATGGACCGGAACCTGGAATGGAAAGACCAATATTTTCTTCGTGGACCCCGGACTGAAGGTGAGCGCTGGCGGTTACATCGAGCAACTCGAGAAGAATATCCTCCCCACATGTCGTCGCCCGTACCTTCTTGGAAACTTTGTACTGAGGTAACTCAGGGATAGTGACACACAAAGTAAATTGCAAGGGCGTGCCAACTTCTTTGAAGGGCGTTGAGTTCCAGATAAAGATAGAATATCAAAGCGGGTCACCTGACCTAAACCCCATCAATTACCTGGTTCGGGCGGAGTTCAATAGGGTGGTCTACAGTGGCGGAGAAATCAACGATCTCGCTGAACTCAGGCACCGAACCATGGTTGCGTGGCAGAATCTCTCGATGGCGCTGGTCCAGAAGGCTGTGGCGGAGCATCATGATAGTATTTAATATGCTCTTCAATATGGTAGTAAAAATGTCCGATCAGAATTCAATAAAGTGTAACTTATAGCGCCTCGAAAGTCAAGGGAGAAAAGTGTCTTTTTTATTGGCCCCCTGTACATAATCATTGTGAAGACCACAATAGGAAATTTGTGTTTGTCTGCGAGGAGGGAGGGGGGGGGGGTGGTCGTAAGCGGCGGGTCTCATTCGCAGGTGGGAAGGGAAGACCGGCAACAGTCAGATGCTGTACACTCATTGAATGATAGAATTTCGTTCATGGTTCGTGATGTGAAGAGCACTCGAACAGGCACCTGATGACAGAGACAAGTTGTCAGCTCAGAAGTGTGAACGGTGTGTGGCAACAAGTACGATAACTACTCGGCGTCCCACCCCCCCCCACTCACTCCATCCACCGGTTAGACAGGACTCTCTCGCTGGAGAATCCTCAGGCACTTGAATCCTTGTGTCCTCCTCCAACTCACGCATTGACTATGGAGACTTCCGGAACCCATACATCTTCGAAATCTGTGTAGATATGTGTGATTCCACAATATTCGTTTGGCGACCATTTCAGACGTTCATCTATCCAGTCCTGGAAAGAAATAAAGCTCAAAAGACAGTAAGATACATGTTGAAAAGCTCACCATTTTATAGCTGAATAAGAAGTCGATTTTCGATTCTATTTCGATCTGAAATACAGTAAACCTCAGAAAAAAGCTTCTTTAGGGTACGTTCTGAATCTGATGCAGCTCTTGACTTACCAAACGAACCACTCGAGCAAATGTCAAAGTTACCATCACTTCATATCGTGGTTGAATGAAGCCTTCGGAAAAATTACCTCAATAAGTCTCTATAAAGGATAAAAGGATATAAGAAATAAGTCTCTATGAGGCGGAGGTGGTGTAGTGACAAGTGGCGCGCTTACCACTCGCGCGGCGCCGGGTTCAAATCCCGGGTCGACTCCCGCCCAGGCCAACCAAGCCTTCTACCCTCCGGGGACGGTAAATTGGTACCAGATTCGTCTGGGAGGATAAAACACTGACTTGTACATCGGCTGGCCACCGCAAGTCATTGTATAGGCCACATCGCATTCAATAAGCCACTACGATTCTGAATGGAAGTAGAATGCGTGCCGCATCCCACAAAGGGATTGATTAACGGGACTTTATCCTTTTTTTATCCCTTAAGTCTCTACAGGACTAGCAAATGCACGTAACTCTGGCTCAAAGACACAGTCTTTTCAATTTGGGACACGAATTCTACTGGTGCATGGAAATGCTGAGGCTTCGAGATCGACCGCTCTTTGCGAGGCTATCGGTCTTGAGGACACAGTCCACGCTCGTTGCATGGGCGGAATTCTCAACCCTACACTTTGCTATTCACTTGCCTCTACCTTTTTCAGAAGGAAGGGGCGCATTTAATGAAGACACAGGGGTGATCTGCTTCACCCTGGGCAACAGGCATAACAGATTTACTCAGATAAAAATATTGAAGGCAAGGGCATGATAGATCCCCAAGACGTGTAGGACTAATACGCTTAACAGGACAGAATCGGCGCTCCTTAGAACGGGTTATGCGACGCTTACTCTGAGGGAGGCACCTTGAAGCGCCTCATAAAGCTGAAAATACCGACAAGGACGCTCACCGCGCTTGCCCAAGTCAGACCAATGCTGATGCTCAGATCGTTTCATTTGCAAAGTGAAGGGATTGATATGAAGCGGCTGCGGTGCTCCATGGATATATGAGTACATATGTGCAGCCGTATCTACCGTAATGGTTACTGGCACGATGCCAACGGGAAAGCTCGTCCAAAATTGCTTTCTGAGTGTTGAACAAAGGTTTTTTGCAGGTTTTTGGCCATTTCACTTAGCTTTTTCGCCATTTTCCCCACTATATAACACCCTTTATTACCCTGCTAAGCCGACTACCGGATTGTCGTGCCCGTAAGTACCATAACCACGAGAAGTGCACATCTTTATAGGGTCGCGAAGCAGAGAAGATAGGGATACACAAAATGCGTAGCGCAACCCAAAATAAGCATTTCCATTTCTAATTACGAAATGAAATGGATAAAGTGGAAAAATGTATACCATTAGTGGAAACAGATGAGAATGGTGTAAGGCGTTGATTATAATTCGTTAGCAGAGCCTCGTACAATCTGGCCTGTTCCCGCAAAAAATCTTCTCGATCTGAAATCAAATAACGACTTGAATGCGCAGGTGGGTCTTTGAATATTAGTTTGGAAAGAAAGTCTAGCAGTACTCCAGAGAATCCCCCAGCCCAACGCCCTGGACTCATAGTCTCACGCAACCACCCGCACCGGAAGTTCAGTCTGCATTCATTCCAGTATGGACGGATTTCAGGATGGTATAACCAGAGGCCTCAATTATCAAGAACTACACTCTGCACATTGGGAACCACTTCGTGACGAGGACTAGGCCGCACAGCGTAAACCATGCACAAGCTCGATCTCTCAGGAATAAAAGGCCTCTGCAGTGACAAACGATGTGCGAAGAGAAAAGGACTCATTTTGTTGCTTTCCTCTAATTGACTGACGGCCGCAGCAAAACTTACATAGATGGCCGACGTCGCCTGTGGAAATTGGCTCCAAAAAGATGTAAATTGAGTTGTAAGGATCTCGGGGATGTCGACTTGATTCGAACCCTTTCCCGCTACGTCGTTTTCTTAAGTCGTCACGTGTATACAAAGACCACTGTGGCCGCGAAAACTGTCTTTACTGCCAGGAGTAACGATTTGCCTTTTAAAGGACACCGTGTGCGAAGTGGAGTGTGCGTCATGTTTGTCATTCTACATCGGAGAAACTGGACGACCACTCTACAAAAGGCTCGATGAACATCTAAGGGCTTTCCGGAACCCAGCCAGCTATCCGGATAACCCTTTCTCGAGGCATCGTTCCTCGCGCCACACGAATGAGCGTGCACCTGAACTCAAGGTGCGCGTGATCCACAGGAACATAAGTGACCCGGTGGAGAGGAAAATAAAGGAAGCGCTGGAGATTCGAAGGAGGAATCCACCGATCAACAACAGGGAGAAGGACAATGGAAATCATTGCTGCACAATGATGTGACATAAGTGGTGATACGTGACATATGACAAATAGCAGTGTATCAACTATGCCATCTTACCACTGCTTCACCAAACTAGCTGTGCCATTTCTAAAGGAAAGGACAGCTGGGACGGTGAGTCATTGTTGCGTATTACTGTTTCTCACATCATCAGAGAACATCCATACTCCCGGATCTCCCTCCCACAGCGACCGACCCTCCGTCCTGTAGGAAGCCGTTCAGTTATTTGAATGTTTCCCCTTCGAATTTCTTGCCTACGTTTGTAAAGTTAGATGCTGTGTAGGCTTTGAATAAGATGATTGTAGACCTGAAGAAGGGCTTAAAGCCCGAAACGTCGTCTATGAAATAAACGACTGGGACGAGTTTCATTTTATCAGTCTTAAAGAGGACACAAGACAATGAAGCTCAGGAATCCTTTTATATGTATTACATGGCTCCAAAAGGTTGAATATCTTGCCATTCCACTGCAACCAGCACGCACATGTAACGGAGACGGCATCTATGTAATTTTTGCTACGCGCTTATGACCATACTCAGCTTAGTCTCCAGCCTTAGCAGCTTCTGACCATCACCTGCCCACGGCATTGAAGCATAACTTGAAAAACAGCAGACCGATAACTGACGTCAAATCGCGAACTCCAGATTTTCTTCTAACCGTAGTCGTCAGGATTTCGGGGTAACAAAAACAAGAGCCTGCCCAACCGATGGGCACTTGTCTCAGATACCTATGGTAGTTCTCTTGTTAATCGATTTCCTGCTTGTCGAAGGGATCTTCAATTCGAACAAATGCGTCTCAATTCATCACAAACGCCGATACCAGGTAATCCTCGAAAAGGGCCAAGAATTGCACTTCCAAGAGTCTTAAGTTTCCTTGAAATTGCCCACAAAACTTTCATTTCCACAGATAAATTTCGAAGAATTTCTGCGATTATTTTCGGTGTCCACTCTCTTGACGAGTAGTCGAAGCAAGCCTTCTGTCCCTTCAAATCCGGAAATTTTGTACTTGGACCTTGATGAGGTTATAGTAACATTCCCACGCAACAGTGGCATTTGGCGTGAATTGACTGACTCCCGCAGAGTAGGCCAGAAACAGCTACGAATTCGAATGTTAGCAAAGGCAATGGCGCATCCGGGAGGGGAGTGTTGAAAGCTCCATATTCTTTGTGCTAACAAACGTTTGATTCGGCTCTAAAACCACGGCTTCGAATTTTGCCTTAGTAATACACGGCCTTCCTCTAAAATCGGATGGATATACGCGACGCTCCAAAAAGTCACATCTGGCGAACAGGGCGCACGAATGAGACGTACAGAAGGCCCATCTCTGCGTTTACTACAACGAGTGATGACGGTGTCGGCCCAATGCGTGGGGCCCGAGCCAGCACACTGCTGGTAATAAGAGAGAGACGTCCGAGCAACCATTTTGTTAGAGTGCTATAGGCAAGTAGGGTGAAATTGCTGAAACGACCAGCACAGTGGGGTTTGCCCGGCTGACATGAGGCGCCCAGCCGGCCCCGGTCTACAGACGCCGGCGCCAAAATACTTCAGGTCACCAAAATCGTTGAAAACTTGTCTCGTGGGTTAGCTTGACCCCTGAACACAAATATCACAATCGCTTGCCACAAAACTGCCTGGCTCCGCGCGCCAAATGTCGCTAGATGCGTCAAATCCCTGAAAGGCTTGTCCCTACCGGTGAACCAACCACCTCAACAAAAATATTATGACCACTTAACGCGTTGACGGCGATTTCCGTCAATGGTGGACGACAGAAAGTTTGTCTTGTGGGAAGGCGTCGCCCAATGCTGTCCCACAGTTATTATATAACTCAAGATCTGCGCGATTGTTTCACTTTCTTTTCATAAAATTAGTTCAAGAACAAACATTTTCGGGTCGAGGGATGCGATATTGTTCTTTAGGAAGTCAAACCACCGTGGGGAGACGAAATTTTTCAGTCGCACCCGTCTCTAAGGAAGAATTGGCTATAAAAATGGTCGATTTTGGACGCTAAGCAACATGGGGAGCGCAAATTCCAAGATTCGAGATTGCTATACTCGTCTCTTGCCTTTCTTCGAATATGATTTTGTCGCAGTAATTCCATTTATTTGGAGGAAGCACGAGAGTGTTCAGTGTGATGTGAAAACAGTGTGCCGTGCTCAGCGGCATGGGAAAAATGGCTCATGACAACGTGTTAGGGAACCCGCAGCCACTGGATCGTGTTTAGTCGGTGAGGGAAGGGGGAGGGGTCGTTTTGCCTGATAAATTTTTTTGGTAGCTGATTTTTCCTATTTCAACAGCGCTGTCCTCAACGTTGAGAGACTCCCATTATTGGAAGTTGTGCTTACATGTCGTGTTGAGAATGGAGGCGCATGTTTCGACAATTCTACAGGCGAGTATAATTCTGAGCGAGCGGTATACAACTGGTATGGTGGATTCGAAGCGATCCTAGGAATATCTTTCAACGTTACACCCAGTTTTACAATTATATTAAACTCTATGGGTAGGACTGGGTTCAAGAGAATCACACTGTCGAATAGTCCTGTGAGCATGTGTCAATTAGTCGACTCACTGCTAATAGTGCAGCTGTCAACGAAATTACTGTAGATCAGTTCTAGAGCAATGAATACGGTGACGATTAGCATTGGCGCGTGCACCTGGCGTTACTGGCAGGAGATCATAAGTCGAAATCTTACGTTTCATCGTATATTTGCGTTTGG